GGCTAACCATGGAAAAGATGGGACACACGGCCAAGGAAACAGGAACCACTGGGGCTTCAAGGCCATGAAGGTATATCTATATGCATGATGCATTTTTGTTCTTCTTTACCGTCATGTTCTTATGTATGGCTAACTTCCGTTTGACGTTGCAGGAGGACAAGTTGAAGAGGCCGCTCTCAGACATTGAGTCGTGGAAGCTGGCCCGCGAGCGGAGTCATCCCAAGGAGGGTGAGAGCCAGTACTACGACAAGACCGAGGAGCACCTGGAGTCTTACACTCAGCACAATCAGAAGTTGCATCCGGATGTTCCTGTTCCTGAGGTCGCCCAGTCTCAGATCGACGACACGGCGGTGGTGGCCATCCAGGGGAAGTCACATGGCCGGTATCCGTGTTTTGATGGCTTGATAACTCCTTCGATCTCGTACACACGGCTTTGGTCTACCAACCCGAGCCAGTTAGAGAGTACGGGGAGTTCACAGACTCCCTTAGCCCGCCAGCATGCTGTAAGTACTTCCCCTTTATCTTTTTCTCTCTAGCATTCTCAGTTCATTTTCAGCATTGCTCACTTAGAAACAACCTAAATTATGTAGGCATATAAGGCCTTTGTCGAGCATAGGAATCTCGAGGTGCGAGAGTACTTGCAACGAGTGAAGGCAAATGATGATTACAACCGTCAGATGATGGCGGTTAGTTTTGCCCTCTTAAAACCAAGCTAAATTTTTGCACTTTCATTCCTTCTGACCTTCTAGTTTGCTTGTTTAACCAACATCCAGGCTATGTTGGCGTCTTGGAGTAACTGCACGGATCCACCACAAATGGGACCCCCACCACCACCTGCCGGAGAACCCCCACACATGCCCACGTTCGATGAATGGGTGGCACTAGGCAGTGATGGTCCGGTTAGTACATTTGCCTAACTACTGGCAAACTAGTTCTCGTTCATTCAACACTATCATATCATATTTACCGTTAGAATCTTTTCTGAAACATGTAGGGGACCGGTGGCTCGACTACTGCTCCGTCGACCCCAGTCACTCCGATCTGGCAGAGTGATGGTGGTCGCGGTGGCGGTTTTGGCGGAGGTGGTCTTGGTGGTGGTGGTTTTGGTGGAGGTGGTCTTGGTGGTGGTTTTGACAGAGGTGGTCTTGCTTGATGTCGAGGATGATTTCGTGCATGTGGCCGTCGTGCCATTCCTTTCATGTTGCTACTTTTATGATGTTCCATGTCTTGCACTACTTTTATGTTCATGAACTTCCGCTGGTGATGATCTTTAGATGATGATGATGAACTTGACTATGTTTAGACGATGATGATGAGCTTGAGTATGTTTAGATGATGAACTGTCATATTTCTGCATAATTCCATATTATTCTGCTTTGAAATGCTATCAAATGAATTGAAAAAGAGAAAACAGGGAAAATAAAAAAAATAAAAAAACTATGCCTACGGCAAAGCCGTCGGCATATATAAGCTCAGGAGTTACCAGGGCTTGCCACGTGGCAGATCTATGCCTACGGCAATGCCGTCAGCATAGATTTTCATCTATGCCGACGGCTTTGCCGTAGGCATAGCCCTGCCGCCAGGAGAAACCAGGGAAAGACACGTGGCAGTGCTATGCCTACGGCAAAGCCGTAGGCATAGCACTGCCACCAGGAGCACCACGGGACGCCACGTGGCGGAGATACGCCGACGGCTAGGCCGTCGGCATAGATTTCTATCTATGCCGACGGCCAAGCCGTCGGCGTACCTCTGCCACATGGCGTCCCATGACTCGTCAGCGCTTTTGACGGCGCCGTCCGTTGCCGTCAGACGGAAAAACACTGCCGACGGCTGACACCGGCCGTCGGCATAGGTCCCTATGCCGACAGTCTGACAAGACTATGCTGACGATATCTACGCCGACGGGTCTATGCCGACGGCTGCCGTAGGCATAGATCTATGCCGACGGCCCCTGGCCGTAGGCATAGACCGCGAGTCCGGTAGTGATTTCTGCAGCAATGGAAGCAGCCGGCCAGGGGCAGTGAGCTGGTGCTTGAAGTTCTTTGGCAAAGCTCGAGTTGCTGCTAGAGCAAGTACTTTTGGATCAAAGGGGAGGTGGTAGTAGTGATGTTAGGTATGGCCCAAGTACAGCTCTGGATCTTGTAGGAACTCTGTGTAAGTTGGGTTAAGGACCAATACTGCTGGTCTTAGCATTGGTGCGTGGAACTTTGCTTAGTAACTTGTTGCTTCTGTGCTCTGCATCTGTGATGTAGCTGCTGGTGTTAGTTTTGGGTTTCCGAACTTCGTTAGGAAGTTGTTGCTTCCCTGCTTGCAGTTTTTAAAGATCTCTTCAGTCATTTTGTGAAATACGCTGACACCAGCGCGACGCAAAGATGGTTTTCTATGGGAGGACCTGAATATCATCTAGGTACTTTCTGATGAGCAGGGTCTCACTTGATCTAGAAAAATATCAGGTCCAGACATGTGTCACTCCCTCCGTCCCATAATATAAGAGCATTTTTGACACTACACTAGTGTAAAAAACACTCTTATATTATGGGACGGAGAGAGTAGTTATAAACAGTTACATTTTTAGGCCCTAGCACACAGCAAATCCCCTGCTGTTTTCTTTCATCAGAAACTGGAGCTATTTCTTCAGTTAAACACCCACTGTTCAGATTCAGACAATGGAGAGAGTGGGTGCTATCTTCTAATCTTGGACGTCCAAGCAGCATCCAACGGCCCAAGTTCAATTCCGTCAATTAGAGCACTGGCTTTGTCACCGTTTCCGCGCGTCCAACTTCACCTCTTTTGCTTCAGTTGGTAGGAGTATTGTGACCATACCCTGGGGTATAAAAGCCATGTAAGAGCAGATTTTGATCCCAGACTAAACCCTATCCGCCACCAAAAAAATATTCTTCGAAAAGTATCTCCTTTGTGCTAAGATATATTTCAAAAATACCAAAAAAAAAACGGTAGCCCAAGAATTGCCCAAAAGTTTCTCGTTTGTGCTGTGTTTTTCTGAATCCTTTCTTCCGGTTCTTATATGATCCTGTCAATCCTTAACCCTGCGGAGCAGTGGTACTGCATAGGCATTTTGCTAAGCAGATGAATGTCGTGTGGGGTCGATAACACACAAGCAGATCATGTGTCGCGGGTAATACTGGTAGTAGCCATCGGAACATACTGGACTGGCAGAACCTGATGTGGTATGAATACTCCACCACTGACGACGACGGTTGAATTTCTCAGCATTGCTGGAGAAATGCTTGAAGTTGAAATCAAACTCATATGCCACAGGATCAGCCTATTATGCTTGGTTTTGCAATGTGCGTCTGTGTGACTGAAACATGGAGACTGAAGAGTATTAGTGCATCAACTTTTTCTCGGCTTTGCTGCAAGTGAAGAGCGCTTCCTTTTTTGAGTACACATAAGCCTTCATGTAGAAACATCCGGTTGCACATTGGTTTTAGCTTAACTACATGTTTCAATCCATAGAAGTGGCAGCTCTCTTGCAATCGTTGGGGTGTTGTAATCCTTGAAGAAGCTTCACTCCACCATCCATGCTCTCGCCGTGCGTTTCCTTTGGATTGGTACGTGGCAATGGACAATGGTGGATTCGGTCGACACAACATAGGATGGATCCACTATATTTCAAAAATATTTTCCTCAATGGCTTTTTTGTTACAGCTCATGTAGTTTCTTCGAATCAAGAAGTACTTTAAATATGAAGAAAGCAATCCATTGCACAAAAAAACTGTTCACGTAGCATGGAGACGTAGATAAGAGAAATGTCCCATCAAACAAGAAGTCGTCTCAATTAAACTAGAACATTGATGTTTCAATTCACTAAAAAATTGAATTTATCGCCCTACAAAAAATGCTTCCACCACTACAAAGATGCATGTTGCACAACCTTGAAATAAATCATTAGTGAATGTGAAAGTTGTAGTTGAAAATAAGTCACACAATTTTATTTCTTCTTTTTAACAAAGTAAAAATGCAGATGCCCACATACACATACACGCACATGTGATTTGTTTTCTAAAAATGCGTTGTTGTATTGGTTTTTATTCAACTGCAATGATGCTCTCGAACCGAAAAGTCATCCTTTGATGTAGGGCATGGCTTTGGCACTACAACATAGGGAAGTCTCAGTTATTGTCCAGTCAGACTCAGGCGTTGGCGACACTCTACATGGAGGGCTCATTGTATTCTGCATATGGTCATATCGTTCTGAGATCCAGTTCTTGATGGAAAAGAGAAAGTTTATTTCTATGAAGCTTAGACCTGGATAAAATAGGGTAGCAGATCAATTAGTGCCGTACAGTCGTACTGAAGATAGCACTGCGCTATGGCTAAAAAAGGACCATATAATGTATCAAGGAGCTTCTGCCTCTCAACTGAAATCCTATTATACATATATTTTAAATAAAAATAAATCCTATTATCACGAAGTAAATTTCTTTCACCCTAAAAAACATATTTTGCTATCCGATATATCGTACCGAAGAGCCAAGGCACGACAGACTATGGCTGTGGTTGGATGGTCATGATGACAGTGGTATCCTTTTTTCACCGGAGTTCAACTCCGGTGATGTTATGTGGGAGAAAACATTCTAGTCGACTAAAGAAGACGTCTTTGGCGACTTTCTCAATCTCAAGGACTGCGTCTGTACCGTGTTTGATAAAAAAAGGAACCCGTCTCTTTTTTTTTTCAAATGAAGGCAGCTCAAATCGCAAAAAGAAAGAAAAGAAAACTGGCCAAACCGAACCGTGTAGTAGCCATCCAACGAGCACACCTGCTCCGTGGAGTCTCCACCCTTTCCCACCCCAAAACTGCTGGACAAACACTAGCTGGCCGAACCCCACACGATGCAGGAATGGACGGTGTTGTCTGCTTTTGCTCTAACTCATCAACGGCTTGATGTGTAGTGTCGTCCGCTGATCGTCCAAATCTGTCGTCTGTGTAGCAGCGCTCTTCCCACCCAAACCCTCGCCTCCGCGCGCCGCCGGCGCCGATGGGCGAGCTCGCAGAGGATCTCTTCCTCCGCCTTTCGCCGGAGCTCGTCGAGGAGGTATTTTTCCGCCTTCCACCGGACGAGCCCGCCTGCCTCGCACAAGCCTCCGCTGTCTGCAAACCCTGGCGCCGCATCCTCGCCGATGTGGGCTTTCGCCGCCGCTACCGCAAGTTCCACGGAACGCCTCCCGTCCTGGGTCTCTTCCAACGGGGCGACTGGCTCTTCCGAAAGGGATCCCGCTTCGTTCCCACCTCCGCCCTCTTCCCTGCCCAGCCCGACCATCCCGATTGGCTTCCCATGGACTGCCGCCACGGCCGCGCCCTCTTCGACCGCACCTGGGACAAATCCGTCCTCATGGTCTTGGACCCTCTGACGGGCCACCAGCGCCTCGTGTCCTCCCCCTATACTCACTCGGTCAGCTTCAGTGCGGCGGTGTTCTGCGCCGGCGCCGCACAAGGCTGCGACCACCACGGTTGCCAAGGAGGTCACTTCCGTCTGGCCGTCGTGACCACCAATAATGTCCAAGAGGTCACATCGGGCTGGCTCTACTCGTCGGAGACTCGCGTGTGGAGCGACCTCACCTCTCTTCATCACCCCAATCTCAGATTTACCAATTTGGCTGCGCCTAGCGTCCTTGTGGGTGATGCACTCTACTTCAACCTTGGTGGCATCATCGAGTGCCAACTTGGTACACTCTGCCTGTCAATGTTCGAGAAGCCGATCGATGGCAAAGGGACTCTCATGGCGACACAAGGCGGACTGCTGGGATTCGCTGCTGTGGTGGATGCCGCAAATCTAACCCTTTGGTCGAGGGAGGCCGGACCCAAGGGAGCCATGGGATGGGCAAAACTCAGGATAATTGATCTTGAGGCGCTGCTCCCTGTTGATGCCATGTCCCTAACATTGGAATTCAGGAGGATCAGTGGCATCGCTGAGGGCACCCAAATCATTTTTGTGATAGCACGTGCTGGTTCTTATATGGTTGATCTCGAGTCAGGGCGAGTCAGGCCGGTGTCTTGTCTTTGCAGAAAAATCTTTCCCTACATGAGCTTCTACATACCAGGTACGTGCTACTACCTATGTGCATATATATAATCATGTATACAATTCCTTGTTACGATCTTTTAGTGGCACCTGGCAACATGAAATGAAAATATGTTTCTTGGCAAGTAGTAATTTTACACATGAGGACACATGTGCTCAAGAAAGAGAGATGTTCCTCTGGACTGGAGTACATGTCCATATTTATTCTCGGTCCTTGTGATCAGTGAGTAAGGAAAAGCCTGGTTCATCAATCATTTGTTTTGATGTTGTGATTTTCTTGCATTTATGCAGCAATGGAAGCAGCTTGTGCTGGTCAGGAGCACTGAGCTGGTGTTTCCAGTGTTTATCATTCTCAAGTTAATGGAGCAAGCTCTTGTGGATCAATGGGGAGGTGGTAGTGGTAGTAGTGATGTTAGATATGGCACAAGTGCAGCTCTGGACCTGTAACTTTGTTTAGGCTGGGTTAAGGACCAATACTGCTGTTGTTAGTACTATGTGGTGTATGGAAATTTGTTTAGGAAGTTGTGCAGGAACTTTGTTGAACAAGTTGCTGCTCCTTTGCTTGCAATAATTTTCAGTCGTTAATAATTTTCAGGAAATGTACTTTCTGAATGCACAAAATGATTGACTGGTACTCCACAAGCTGCTCTTCCGTTAATATTTATTAGCTCGCCTACTTGCTGACGACGCATATGGCAGTTTTTCACCTGTGTTGCTTTTCGACGCATATGGCGTGTCGTCTGATATAACCATCTTTCACCCCCTTCGACGACGTCTGGACCACCGTCACACCGGCTGGTCCACCGACCTCGCTCACCACCTTCGTCATTCTGACTCTTCTCTGGAAAATTTTGGATGCTTGCTTAAAACGCTTTGCTCTTCAGATAAACTGAACTGCATGCCCCTGCTGTGCTCTCATACAAGCTGAAAGTGTGCAAAGACATTTCCTGTGGTGTTTTTTTTTTGGTTACAATGTAGGCAAAAAATGTTACCTCGAATCAAGAAGTATTTTCACTAAGAAGAATAAAAACCAATGGAGTGAAAATGTTGTTCACTATTGCAGAGACCGTGGGAAATTGGTGACTGTTGCAGTCCTTTGGACGATTTGGCTCACCAGAAATTGGAAAGTGTTCGACGACATCTCAATGCCCGCTGTGACAGTGCCAAGGCAAATGTTCAGAGATGGTGAGGCTCTGATCTCACAGCCAAACGATCAGAGTTGGGGATTCCATCCAGAGCTGGATCGAAGGCTGAAATGCATCTTCTTCCTGAGTGTGTAAGACTGTTTGTATGCTTACCTTGTTTGCTGTTTTTATGAAATGCAAAGAAAATAGGCAGCGGCCTCCCCTCTCGACTTCGCTTGAAAAAAAAAGTGTTCATGTAGCACCGAGATGAATGTTTTATTGGTGAGGGAAAATGTACCATCGAACAGAAATTAGTTTCATTTAAATGTAAAAAAATGCTTTTATCTCACGAGGCAATATGTATAGATCGGAAAAAGGGCAAAAAATACCAAGCCTTTGACCGAGCCGGCCTTTTTAAATAAACTAGCTTAAGCGGCTCGCTCGATAATGAAAACATAATGCCAAATGGGCTGGCCGTTAACATAAACATCGCCTAGACACTGACGGCTTTGGCCCACACATCCTCCACAGCGCCAACACACCATAGAGCTTTATCTAAGGACTACAAATTCCTCTTATGCTCACACTAGTCACAAAATAAAACGATCTTGTCTTAGTGATTACTCTGGCCAATTGTCATGGTTGTGTTTCACAGCCACTGCCTTCTAGGGATCTTGTACATCCATCATAAAAACAAGCTAATTCTTGTATTTCAGAGCCACTGGCTTTTAGGGATCTCGTACATCCACCATGCGAACAAACTACTTGTTGTGATGCCATTGCAGGTACAGAAAACTGATTTGGCATGGTGATAGATGACGTATTTGTCGTAGGGTAGAGCATCCTCGTCTCCTATCACAGCTCTAAGCAAGAGTGCCATACCCGTGACAAGAACCTAAAATCCTAAATAATAGTCCAAACCTGGGCAGTCATGGATGTTCTCGAGGATTGAGAAGAGCTCGTATGCAACCAACAATCATATTGTTGTTAGGTGATGTAGAAACGCATGACAACATTATCCCAAATCCCGATGCTTCCGAGTCCTATAATGTTTGTGTTTCCAATAACATTACAATATCGGTTACAATTAAATGCAAGACTTATGCATATATGCTTGTGGTGTACGCGCCTATAAATCTAGTAACAATTAGGCTGCACTTCATGCTCGGCCTCAAAGATGCATGACAACTTCTTCATGAATCGTGGTCATGTTTGGTTTCTCTTCCCGTGCTTAAATAAGAGCATTGTGTGATATGGGGCAACAACCATGGGATGAATGCTTTCATGCACTTCAATTCCATCATAAGGGGTCGCTCCGTCCCCAGGGGCGACACGGGCGGGGACCCAGGGCACCAAGGCGCTCGGCCCCTCCACCCAATCCTCTCCCTCGCCGTCGCCGGTGCCTCCCGCGGGCGAAGCTCGCGTGGAGCGGGCGGCGGCGGGGACTCTTTCTCGCGCTGGTGGTCGCCGCGAATGGGGGATCTCGTGGCGGCGGGCGTCGGCTGGTGTCAGCGAGCTACCTCCGGCTCCGGCGCGGAGGCGTTGCTCCTGCTGTGGTTGACGTGGAGGCGTCCTGCGGTGGTCCGGCGTCTCAGCGGTGGCAGCGGGGCTTGGGCGGCTCGATGGGGCGACGGGCCCGATCTGGCAGCATGGATCTGGCGGCTGGTGGTGTTCCGGCGGCTCCTGGCAGCGTTGGTCTGGCGGGTGGTCGTGCTGCCGGTGGCTCCTGGCAGTTTGGCGACAACTCCCTGGTGGTGCTGCGGCTGCGGCGGGTTGCGCGGGCTTCGGCCCGGCAGCGCTGCTCGGTGAGATGGGGCGGGGTGGCGGCCCCCCTCCTTGCCAGGTGCTGTGGTTCTGGCCGGCTTGCTAGCCCGGCGTGGCTAGCGGCATGGTGGGGATGGCGTGGCGGAGACTGCCGGGGCGGCGGCCCCGGATTTGGTGGAAGCGGCTTCGGCTAGGGGGTGGTGCGTGCGCCTGGGTGTGGTGGGTCCGGGGATCCCACGGCCAGTGCAGGGTCGACCTCGGCAGGATGGGGTTTGTTGGCTGAGCAGGTGCGTGCAGGTGGTGGTTGAGCATCTCCAGGAGAAATTCTATGTCCGGCCTTTGCCGGATCCGGCGACGGCGACGTCCGTGGGCGTCGTGCTCTTTCTTGGAAGCGTTGCTGTTGTGCGGTGCTCCTCCCCCCTCCCTGCGGCCTTGTCTCCGGAGGGAAACCTCAGATCTTCGGGATCGGGCGATGAAGGCGCCTTCACGTCTTCTTCCTCCTTGGGGGCATCATCTCGGAGCCGGCCACAACCTGGAGACCAGTGGATGGCGGCATCTTCGCCGCGTGGTTGCGGCATCTTCGCCGTGTGGTTTGCGGCATCTTCGCCGCGTAGTTTGCTGAGGCGGCCATTTCGGGGACGCTAATTTCTGTTTGGCAACGGTGATGGCGTCGAGAGGAGCTTTGGTCGCGGCTCGGGCTTCGGTAGTCGGATCTTCCCGGCATGTCCGAGGTGCTCTTCCGTTGGTTGCTTGATTGCTTTGAAGTCGGAGCTGTGGTGGAGTGTGTCCATGCGGTGACGATGATAGGCGCTCGGTGGTCAGTTACGGAGGGCACGGTCGGCGCAAGTCCTGCATATTTCCCTTGTGATGATCGTCGTCAGAGTCGGAGCTGTCGGTTGTTCGCACGTGTGGCCTTCTATTGGCATGTGCCGCATGGTTTCTGTGCAGCTATTGTAGCTTTGTGATCCCATGTTGGTGGCCAGGTTGGCCGGTGGTACCCATATTATGTGGGTTGGATTGTATCGGTTTTAGCCCGATTTTCCTTCAATTAATCGGGCAATTCTCTTCTTCTTAATCAATGAAAATGGCAAGTCTTTTGCCTCGGTTCAAAAAAAAAATTCCATCATAAGGAGCACATGGGCATATGCATGTGCTATTGTGAGCCTCTTATGAGTGAAGTGGGTTTTTTCGAAAAGGAGGAAGACCCCGGCCTCTACATCTGGGCGATGCATGCAACCACTTTATTAATTATTCACAAAGACCTTACAAAGTAATATATCAATACATCTTAAGCCACCATCTTGGCAACATCTGTTGCTACTCCTATCCACTTGATAAAGGGATGTAGATAGTCCGGGCCGAATACCAAACATACCTCACACCATAGCCTAACATCTAAAATCGGAGGCCCCAACCAAGCCACATTGCCGGGTCTGGGGCACACACCGGTCCGACGCACTCTAGAGGTCGCCACCGTCTTCCATAGATCCATCTTGAGAACTGTAATGACGCATCGACCTTGCTAGGCCTAGCTGCCGTTAACGCCACCACGACGCCAGACAACGCCACCATCCCGCGCTCGTTCATCATCACGCACCCACCGCCAAGACCCTGCTGCTCCATGCCTCCGAGACCCGTTGTTGTCGACGTGTCAAATGCCACATCGCTCCTCCTTCGTGAATACCACCTGCTGCCACTGGTCCCATCCCCTCCACATGTAGTTCCTCTAACTGAGCACCCGAATGCCCCAGGCAGCGTCTCCAAGAAGGGCACTCCACACGCAATGCCGCCGCCACCCAACCTGAGGAGATTTTTGGTCTTCACCCTGGCATGGGCTCGGTGTGGAGGGCAGGGACCTCGACGGAGCCTGCAAGGAGGAGAACGGCGACCTTGGTCAACGCCATCGTTGGGGTGAGTGAGTCATCTAGAGTTTCCTCTGGTCCGATGTCACCTCTACTAGCCCCCACGAACGCGCCGAGGCTGACGACTGGGATCGCAAGCCACCAAGTGCAGTAGAAGAGAGCCTGCAGCGGGGAGGAGATCCACCGGTAACTCACCGCCCACGCGGTCAAGATGCCGTCCATCTACCACCCTCGAGCGCCACCAGCCGAGGGCGCCATCACCATGCCTACCGAGGCCACCACCCTAGGTTCAGATTCCTTCGTGATGAGCGGAGCGACGGGATCCGACGCCGCGTGGCCCATGTCGTCGCCCAAGCTTGCCGCCACCCGAGCCCACTACCGCCGGGAGCCGCCACGCTGCCGGAAGACCCACACCCTTGGGATCTAGGCGCCTGTGCACCGCCGCAAGCCCACAGCCACTGGGAATTGCCGTGCCGTCAGGAGGGCCGCACCCCGCGGATTTGGGCGCCTGTGCCGCCTGCGGATCCAGGGAAGGGAGGAGAGGCCCTCCACCGTTGCCATCGCACGCACGAGTTT